CCATGGAGAACAAAGGAATTAAGCGAAATGAGTACTCAGTGATTTTGAAAAGCTGTGCATCATAATGACGAAGCGAGATAAAAAAATTGCATTAAACTAAAAATTGCTGAGTCGACATTTAGATGTTGGCTTAAGGAAAAACCGAAACTTCAAAATTACTCACATGATGTCAATTCAGATGAAGAGATGAAACGAAATCGAGAACGGACTGCAAGCAATAACGTATTAGATGACGCATGGTTCACACAGCAATGTGTCACAAGCCGCATGTGTTATCATGTTCTAATTTATGTTGTTTTAAATTTTTAGACCCATTAAATTTATGTTGGTAATCGTTAACCCTAGTGAATTTTTTTTTTTCTTCCATTTTACTTCTACTGCAATTAAAATCTACACATCGTTCGATCGACATTGTATTTTCGAAATGTGTTGATCTTTTGTATTAAAAAAATCCATCTACTTTGGATCAAACAATAAAACTACAATGTGTACAATTCACAGAAAAAATTAGTGACATAGTACACAACGTGAAGTCGTACATGTGCTAAGCGAATGGAAACCACGTGGAATGTTTTGATGATCAATATACTGCAAGTTATCCTGAAATTAATGTGACTGAGGAAAAAAATAATATATACCGATATGAAGAGATATTTATTCACTGTTAATCTTAGCATGTTTATTAATTGAGTATTCAACACTGTAACATGCCAAGACAACCCCACCCCCTTTTGCCTATACGTCGATCCCTTTGTTAGTTTTGTTGTTATAGGTCCCTCGAAAACTCGCGCCTCTCGCTTATATTGCGGTCGATGTTTTTGGACCCCGATGTCCGCGAGTTATCGAGGGAGTGGTGTATATATATTTGGGTTGGAGGGGGGTGGGGCTATAAATATATAATAATGAGAAAGTTATAAATCCAAAATAGGTAGCATTACACCTTGATATTCCTTTTTTCAATATACCTTGAGCATAGCTAATAAACAAACACGAGGTACACTGTGTCACATAATGTTATACAGCGTCAGACATAACACACCCTATCCAGCAAACTTTGCTCAATACTTTGTTATATCTATTTTATGTTATATTTCACACAACGAGTAGCTGAACGCAAGGATGATGCTAGAGGGTACTGGTGATCAATAATTAGATTTTGTCAAAATGTCAACCTCATTACCCTTGGCACTTTTTCCGATTTCCTTTGTAAAAAGTCAACCTTACTATATCCAAATGTATTAATGGCTTAAAGGTCAAGTGTCTGTTTTTAGCATATATGATAATGGGCCTTTTGTTCAACATATTCGGCAGAAATTAAACAAGAATATAATTTTTCAAAATGCAGTAAACAAACATATATGCTGACCTATGACTAATTATTTAATACTAATAAGATCATTTTTCAAAAAAATAATGCTACAAATATGTGAGGATATTTGCATAAAACCACCGAATTACATCTTCTAATATGTTACCAATGCTAGCAAGAACAGTAACTAAAGCAACACCAGCATAAATTGTGATCAAGAACAGAAAAATCTTGTGACAAATTGGATATTTATACCATGGAATCTGATTATACACAAATTTTTGTTTATTATATCAAATGTATTAAAACTCTGGGTACAACTTTTGGTGTGTAATGTATTTTTTTAGGTTAGACTCGGACTTAGTTGTATTTACCAATCATGGGTGATACCTAATAACCTAGAGGCCTATTTGATTTTAAATTTTCGTGTTAGTATAGGTAGAAAGTGATAAAATTTATATTATTTAAAAAAAGAAAAAAAACTCATATCATTTATTGTGAATATCAATCTATTCTGAATATTGACATTATAAAGAACAAACTATTGATCTGTACTATATCACTTTATTTAAAAAAAAAAATAATCATATTTTATAAGAACATAGTTCCTTCACTCGCACTCTGATTTCACAATTTAATGACTTCATGAACTGTATAATATTGCTCAAAATTAATTAGAATTATTAAGTATGTACAAAACTGAAATCCAAAATGTAATGTTTATACACAATTTACACCACAGAAATGCAGATTTACTCTAATAAAAAATTAGTGGAAAACCTGTACAATATGAAAAAGTGAATGCAGAATTTTCCAAGAATTTTGTCTATGTGACTGACATCCTTTGTAAAATTGTGAAGTATTCAATATAAATTATTTTCTGTTCATTTCTGTGATTATTTTTAATGTTATGAAAATTGACCAAAACTATCTCTCATGATTTAATTCTAAAGTGGTAATTATTGTTTACTAAATTGTTTCTTCAGATGAATATATATATATGTAAAAAAAATACTATACTGATTATGCACTATTTAAAGGGTAAGATCTAATTTCAACTTGTGTTTGACTCATAATTATGGTACTTTTTTTAAATAGTCGGTGAGGGCACTTAAACAAGCCAAAAAAGGCTTCAGAAGTATATAAAACAATGATAGAGTAATATATTATTAAAGACGAATGTTCACAAAACATTTTTATATTACCACATGTAAGAAATATTCCAATTTCAACTTGAAATAACTATGAGTTCAAGACTTTGAAAAACTGTGACCAAAGACCAATATTAAAGTGATGGATGGTGCACGTGTTTGAATGCATGCTGTGAAATATTATATAAATGAGTTCAATTTTGAATTCTAAACATACAAATTATACATAAATCATTACATTTTTAGATCAACATAAAATTTCAACCTGTATTTCAAGAATATATTTTATACAAAGATGGGGGTGGAGCACTTGATAAAAAGCCACAAAAGCTTCAGAAGTACCTGGAACATAGTCTATTTATTCTTATGGCTGAATGTTCATCCAACATTTCAATATAATCATGTGTACGAAATATGCAAATGTCAGCTTGAAACAGCATGACGTCACGATTGTGCAAAAAGTGACCAAGACCAATATTAAAAATGTTGGACTGTTTGTGTGTTTGAATGCTTCCTTTGAATTTATATGAAAATATATGATGATGATGAGTTCATTTTTTTTTTCTTCAGCACATTCAAATTATGCTGAAAACATTCTATTTTTATTTATTCTAACATACTCGAAAATTCATCTCCTGTTGCTAAAACATTAACACAAACCTCGCGATTTCTTGTTTGTAATCGTATTTTTCGTCATGGAAAGTCCATTCTTGCTTTCCCGTAATGGGATTTAGTTCAGAAACAAAGGTTCCCATCTCTCTGCGAAAATATTTATCAGTGCAGGTCTGAAAGTATATAAAAAATCGTGAAGTAAGGGTATATTGACTGCGTAAGATCATGAGCATCAACCGTGTACTGCCATTAAGCATGGGAGTAGTTCTAAATTTTCTACAGAAAAAGAAATCAAATGTTAAATACTCTCTCTTAAATCAATATTAACTAACTCTTCTAAACTATATCGATCTATCCTTTGTTTAATAGCAATCTTCTTTTAATGAATGAAAAAATATATTTAATAGTATGGATAGTAGTACTATGAAAATAAATACTCCTTATACTTAGACTGGTTTACAAGTAACACAATATTTTTAAATTTTATCATAGATTAAAAAAATATGAAACGGATATATGTTTGAATGCATATTTCATCAGGATATTGATATACAAAAATAATAAAATTACTCTTTCCAAAATAAAATTGATATTTTTATATTGTCATATATATTTCAAAGAAAAAACATGGGTTATTTTAATTATTTTATTTTCCTGGTTGTTGCATTTAGCATGAGAATTGTCAAATATGTTATTACCAAATTCATCACAACAATTGCTGTCTGCTATCATTTTAAAATTGGAATTCCTTTATAAACTAAGGTCTTGAAACATAATTTAATGCTGTTCCTAATATTCAAAAGTTTCAAAATATCTGAACATATTTGTACTTTAAATCAAATGACTGGCTTAAATTTCAGGAAGTTTCTATACGCACGACCGCCGTGTACCATTTATTGGAAAGCATGTTCGGAAGGAAGCTGTATTCCTATAATTGAAAAGATTATTTGTACGGCTACAGTTCATTCAACTGGGGACGAGTCCAAAATATTTTGATTGATGAGATGTTATTGTTGTTGTATTTGCCATTGATGTTGTCCGTCTTTCCAGTTAGATGTTGACGATAACTTAACTACCTGGTTTGGTTTCTTTTGAGTACTTGAGTGGTTAATCAAGCTAATTTGTACCCTGAAATGTCCGTGGCATACTTGACACGACTCGCCTGGGTTTGGTTGATCAATACGTTCCGCACTTTAGAGCTTTCCTGTGCTCAGGCTTCTGCACTACCTTTGCGATTCTTCTCTATTCAAATCATGTAACTCCAGTATGAACGAAATTCTGCCAAGCGCAACGATCCTGTGTGAGCCATTCCAAGACTCAGGGTCGGCATTGAAGTGTTTCAGGGATGATTTGAAGGAATCTTTGAAGAGTTTCTTCTGATCACCACGAGATCACTTTCCTTCTTCAGCTCGTCACAGAAGATAGTCATTGGTAGTCTCTCTTCTGCAATCCTGGTGACGTGACCTTTCTATCTCAACTGTGATTTCATCAGCAGAAAGTAGATACCTGGAATGCCTTCCCGTGTGAGAAGCTTTGCATATGGAACACTGTCCTGCCATCTTATTCTCATTGGTTTCCTCAGACAGACCATGTGAAAATGATTCAGTTTCTTCGTATGGCGACTGCACTCCGTCCAGGTCGACAACACTATGGTTTTGTAAATCTAGCGTTTTATTTGTAAATCGATATTATGTGCTACCACACATTTTTAACGTAGCTTTAACAATTTTTCAGTCATATCGCTACGATTTCTGCAGTGTGGAAGTTTATTGTGATATATATCACTGGGGCATAATTCCACAGATATTTAGCATGGTGTCCCACCCAGTAGCATTATCCTGACACCAGGCCAATCAGTCCTAACACTAACCTCTTAATGCTGAGCGCCAAGCGAGGCTGATGTTAGCACCATTTATACGTCTTTGATATGACACAGACGGGGATCGAACCCATGACCTCCCGCATCCGTGTTGGATGCTCTAACCACTAGGACACTGCAGTAAATTTGAGATAATGAACAGTCACTTCCGATAACGCTATTTTCGGCTGTATTCTCATCAGATTAAAGAGCTTATCGTCATTCCAGTATTTAATGTCGATCCCAGTGTCATAGTTTCGGAATGTTGAGGCCAACACACATCCGAGCTTGACTCCATTTGTTACTGGTAATGGTTCTGAGCCATGTGCAAGCCCCCGTCTTTGTAGACTTCAGCTGGTATAGCATATGCTCCATGTGCTTTGCTGTTTTACACTTGGTAAATTGCTTGCATAGTTCAGTCAGCGTTGGAGGATCGGAAAGTGTTATGTTGGTTTCCACTTGGGGAAGTCAATCAATTGACGCCTCTCTGGTAGATGACTGTTGATTGAGAATTCTCTTGAAGTGTTCTGTCCATCTTTGAATTAATCTTTTCTTTGTCAATTATCAGCGTGGCTCTTTCAGCACTCATTATTGGAGATGTTCCTGATGACTGTGGGCAATAGTGTGTGCCTTCAAAGCATCATACAATTTCTTCATGTCATTCCAGTCTGTGTGTGACTGAATCTCATCTACTTTATCGCTCATCCATGAATCATGCAGATCTTTAAATTTACATTGGACATCCATTTTGATGTTGCTGAAGGCTGCCTTCTTAGATAATGGAATGCTGTCTTCTAAACAGGCTTTCTAATGCCGATGTTTCTTATTCAGAAGTGTCTATATCACAGCACCGTACTCATCAAATCAAACTTGATGCTTACGTGTAGTGGGACCAAGGACGTTGGATAAAATTGAGTACACAGAGCCTATGAAGACAGCTCAATTTTCATCGACATTCTGGGAGTTTATCAACTTGGCTGCACAGTTCTTTGATAGATGATGTTTCTGTTTGTCCTGTTTAAATTTGGAGACATTAAGTTTATGGGCAGTTTTTGTTTTGTGACAGTCTGCTAAGCTGAATCTGGATATTGAGTTTGGAGATTATGTGCATGTGGTCAGTCCAGCATTATGCACTTCTCATGGCCTTCATCACTTCAATATCCTGCCTGTCTCTCCTCCTGACGATGACGTAGTTGGTAAGATGCTAATGCTTGGAGCATGGTTGCATCTAAGAAATCTCTTTGTAGTGTGGCAGGAAGAAGTATGTGTTGGTGATTAGGAAATCATGTTCATCGCCTATCCTCAGTAGGAGTCCTTTATTGTTGCATTTGTCTACGCCATTTTTGCCAATGGCACCTGGCTATGTCTGGTGATCTGTGTCAAATCTAGCATTGGAGTCACCAGGGATAGTGAGTTTATCTGCCTTTGGTACTTCCTCAATAGGAGACTCAAGGTCTTCCTGGTATTTGTTCTTGATCTCATCTGGATTGATTATGGCGGATAAAAGTTGCATCTAATTTTACAAACAAAGGATTATCGTTTGCATTATTCTGTGATTCACTCCTTTTGAAGGATTTGGCAAACTGAATCACAGCTTCACGTTGTTCTTATTTACTTCGTACAATCCATGGGAAAGTGTAACCGGTTCCTACTTTGGTGAGTTGCCCTTTCGCAACTAGAGAAGTTTCACTCAGGGCTGTTCTTTGAATGTTGAATCTGGCCAGTCATTTACCAACTAGAGGCACTTTTCTCTATGGTTTATCTGCTCACGTACTGTCATTTAAAGTGCGTACCTTCGAGGCATATTAGCAGTGAGCGTGGGGAGGTACCCTAGCGACAGTGGGGGCTTCTGTGTTAAATTTGGTCGTTTGCACTCTGGCGACAATAGGAATTTAACATAGGGAATTTAAGATACGGATTGTATAGAGGTAATGTATTAGGCCTGCCTAGCGACAAGGGGAATTGAACAGGGGTGACGTCATGGTACTGGACACTGGCAACATTGTTACAAGTGGCTTACCTCAATCGAACGCAACAGTGTGGCAATGGTTTGACCTGAATACACACTACTCTAGAAACAATAGAGACATAGAGATGTGGCTAGAGACAGAGTTAAAGACATAGAGACAAGACATATGACACATAAATAAATATATATTGGCAACATTATCAGTCTCTCTTTTCTAAAGATCAGGATTGCACTGAGAACGACAACAGTCTTATTTCAACTACAGATTAATTCGGTTAATGGTGACACCTACTAGGCCGGGCATAACAGACACATCGCCAACACCTCTAATCTTGTTCCCAATTGACGCCTGTGGTTGGGAGTGCGGAGGCAGCTTGAGTGGTTTCACTATCCCATTCCTTACTTGAGGGATAGTGAAGACATGTTATTGCCTCCTTCTTCTATTCTGCATCCGTGGATGCTGTGGTCGTTGGGGCTCCCATTCTTGTTTCTTCTTCTGCAGATCTTCTTCCTAATGTTCTTTCTGGTGATTCACATGTCCTAGTGCTGGTAGCATTGGTGGCAATTGTACTTGGTGCTGTGGTGGTGTCCTCACCTTCGGTTTCACAGCTCTGCCTTAGCATTAAGTGAGGCAGGATTGTACTCTTCTCTTCTTTTTTCTTCTCTTACTCCTCTCCCTCAATTCTGGCTTTCTTCTGGGTCGCCTTCATAAGCAGCTCATCCAGGATTCATGTGGCATACTCCAGGTGTATTTAAAGCTCAAACAGTTTGCTGATTCTACTCATTTTTTTAATGTTGATTAGTCAACGATGTGTACCCACACTGATATATATGGTGGGTATAAGCCGGAAGAAGGGACGTGCAGGAAAACACACCCGTACACAAAAACTGACATTATCACCTACTCCACCATCAGTAACATGGAACGCGCGATCCTAAAAGAAATACGTTCACTTTTTTCCTACAAACACACTTTATTATCTCTCATACATATAGAAGCACTATCTTACAAGTCAGGGAAAAGAGATGTTTATAGGCACACTTATGTTTTCCTTACACACACAAACACATACACACACGCGCAGACACACACACACACAAGTCAAGCCAGAGAAACTAAGTGTTTATAGGCACACTACTATTTTTAACCTACCAACACACAAAGAAATTTTACCAATATAATATAATAGTATATCTTTTTAAATTGTTTCGAGTAGACCTGAAAAGGGCTGTTTTGTTGGGGGATATGACAATCTCTTATCGTCTAAAATTGCGTCCCCGTCTGGCTGCAGGCGTTCCGACAGGATAGGGTTTGCATCTATGGAAGGAGAACTCTTTTGTGTCCATACGGCAGTCCACAAAACCCGTCTTTCTTCTACTGTTCTTGCTGTTGCTGTTTTATTTGCTGTTTGTGAAGTATATACTTCTCAATCCATTCTTTTGCTCCTTCTTTATTTCGTCTTTAAATACCTCTTCTATTAGATCTTGTGCCACTTTTAACATCCTGGCATATTCTGTATCAACACCTACAAGGGTTGCTTTTGTAGATCTTGTACAGAAGAACTCAGTGAAGGAGTGTTCACAGTGGTGGTTGAGGCTGTGCCGAAGAGCATGATGGTCACTTCTTTTTATAGTCAATCACTAAATCACAAGGCACATCATCGCATTGCACTTGAGAATTACCGAACTTGAATGATGTCTGTTTGTCAGGATTCATCTTTCTCGCTTGGCAATGGTAGTCAAAATGTACTATCGGTCTTAGACGTTTTCCCTTTTTTATATTCTGACTAATATGGATGTGTCCGTATGATAAAGTGAAGTGATTGGGAAGATGCACTCGCTTTTGGTACACGATCTGATACACTATTCCAAAGGCCGACTGACGATTTGATAAATGTATAAACGTACGATTTTGTGTGTTTGTATGTGGTCACTTTAAACTCTTGATCTTTCCTGACTAGAAGGCTTCTTTCAATACCCAAAAGTTCACCCTTTGACTGGTGCGATAATTGAGAGTCAGTTTCTTCTCTTTACATTCGGTTTGCAATTCTCCTTGAGGGCCGTAATTTTTGAGATTGCCACTAGCAAAACTCATACTCATGCCAGACTCTTAGTCGTCTGTCCAAGCACTTAAACCCTCTCCTTCGATGTCAGGATGCTAGTGACTCAGTCAATCGATGCAGATGCAATTGTCCCTCTCAAAATACAGCACACAAGCTCCTAACGGTTCTAAGGCTTCGTACAATTTTACGCGAGTAAGGGCTGTCATGTAAGTCGCAATGATGACATTTCTAAATTCGTCGGCTTGTACACAGCCCATTTCTGCTACGTAATTGACCAGGATCAAGTGTTCATTTGATTTTATCGTGAATCATCAGGACGTAGCGGGATTGATCGGACAAATACTCCTTCTTGGGTAAACACGGACATTGTGTCATGTTGTCCCACAAGCAATTGAACATCATTTTGGCAAACGATGCCTTCCTTCGGTTCGGGGTGTACAGTTGAGGGTAGCAGATCAGAAATCCGTGAAGTAAGCAATCCTTAGACTTGTACACAATTTTGGGGGTCTAACTCCCAGCCATACACTAAATACGTCTTTTCACCCCCTCCATTTCGGGTGAGGTGGATATATTTGTATTCCTTGTATTCCTTGTCACACAAGTTATGTAGCCAGCGTAGAGCTTTGAGTATTGACGTTTGACAAAGTTCTCCGTTTGGGGGCGAATGACAGCCAGGGTCTTTTCGGGCATGAATCGTTTGCGCTATACTAATGAACAAGCTTTGGCAACTGTCAAGGCTTTTCTTTAAAGGATCCATCCCTCCGTGCTCCATAAACAATTCTCAAATGTTTTACATCAGCACCGTAAAATGTTCACGTCCGATCGACAATACTTTAACATTTCTTCTTGAAGATCCAATGTGTCCAAAGTGTGAGTGTGGTACCAAGCGCAGAAGCTTCTCGTTGCTCGGTGCGTATGCTATCAGTGTCGTAGTACTGAGCATCAGGCAAATAGGGTTAGAACGGCATTTTGATTGGCTCCGGTATTGAAAAAGTGCGGAAAAAGCGTTTGGCCATTTCTGTCATTCCAAATGTTTTAGGCATGCAACTCAAAGGCATGGCCAAGTAACCCACCAAGTCTTTAAGCTGCACTTGCCCCCACTTACATGGATA